GCCCGGCCCGGGGCTCGCCAACGCCACCTGGTCCGGGTCTGGGCCGGTGGGCGGCCGGTCCAACAGCAGCAGCGACGCCTTGGTGACTCGCCTGTCCACGCTGCTCCGCGACCTGCCCACGCTGAAGGCAGCCGTGATCGTGGCGTGCGTCTTCAGCGCGCTGCTCGTCGCCTGCCTGCTGCTCCGCGTCTTCAGGTGGGTCCTGCGCCTGCGCCGCCCGGTGCCACAGGTGACGGGGCTTGGTAGGCGGCTTGGGGCGCCCCTGCCACCCTACCACCTGCCCCCTGCTCCTTGCTTGGGAGGGTTGGGCTCAGGAGGGCAGCAGCATTTTTGTTGCTGCACAAATGTGGAATTCTTTCCCGTTCTAAGGCTGTACGGGTATCGTAAATACTCGTTTCCGTTTAATTCTTTGCTAATGCTTAACACTAAGCAGTGCTGCGAATTTTCACTGCTTTCCATGGGGTTTATTTTATGTCCATTGCATAGAGGAGGAAAATATTTCCAGGAGATGCGCTAGCTTAGTCAAGTGAACTCAGGGGTGGAGGCGGGATTTGAACCGAGGTTTGCAGCTTGAATCTTGCTGTCCTTTCGGCCCTCTTCATCTGCAGCTCCTTCACGCCCCATCTGCTTTTTCCTGTTTTCTTTTTTTGCTGCTTTTTTTTTTTTTCCTTTCTCTTTCTCAAGTGGGGGAGGCCCTCAGGACTGATGTGGGAGGTCTGCTTTAGGCCTGGAGTTGGTGTTGGCCTTCAAGATGCCTGGTTACTTCTGGTGGCCTTAGCGACCATCCACTACAGGGGGTTCTTGTGGCTCTTAGGCCACAACTAAGCTGTCCTGATGAGCATTCCCAGGGCCACCAGCTGCTCAGAGAGAGTTTTGCGGGGTGACTAAGGAAGGTCAAGGAGAAAGTGGCCAGGACTTTAGGAAGGTCCCTGGCGTGGCGGGGTGGATGGTCCCCAGGGGAGGTGAGCTGGGATTTCCTGCGAATGCCTGGGAATCCTGTTTGTGTAGGAAGCAGACTGCACATGTCCTGCTCCTCAGCGGCGGGCCTGGAGCTCTGGGGTATGTGTCAGTCACTCTGCTGTCGCCTCTGCTTGTAGGCACTCTTACTGTGCTTGGTTTGATGGCCCTTCTGAATGTAGCATTTTCTAGGGCAGGATCAAAACCCAGGCCTTGGAACGCAGGTTTGGGAGCTGTCCACTGGGATTACTCTTGGTTCTGTGGGCCCTGGATCTGAGAGAACGGGGCAGGGTCCACCTCCCGCGTGATCCTATCCTCCCCTGACAATGGCTTGCCCGGCTCAGGCTGTGTTATTCTTGCTGTGTGATCTCCTTGATGCCCTCCTGGCTCACCCCTCCTTGCTCTTCCACTTACAAACTTAAGTGGCTCCTAGGAGCCACTGCCTAGGCATGCGGCTCCCTAAGGGTGACACGCAGGGTCTTTCCGAGCCATCCCTGGCCACCTCGCGGCCCTATGCTCCTCGCCTTGTGCTCCGTGGCACTGACCTGTGCTTTCCCACCTCTGACCCGGTTACTATGCATCTTCCAAGCCTGACGCAGCCGCGCCCGCCTGGCTCTAGCCCTTTCCTTCCTGTGTTGTTTTCCTGGATGCGCGCTGTTGCTTTCTTTTCTGGCTCCCCAGTGCTGCCCTCGTGCATCTACCCTTCAGCACAACCTTTGTTTTGCCACAGTGGGTCTGAGTTTGGGGCCCAGCTCCTGCACTCAGCACACAGCCCGGAAGGACGGAACACCCAGATTGTCCTGGGCCTGATGGGGACCTGGTGTTCTGCAAGGGTCCCGCTGTCACATCCTGACTTCCTGACTGTGTGCTACCGGCAAGCTCATGCCTACAGCAGCTCTGAGTCTGGAGGGTTGAAACATTTAGCTCAAAATAGGCCGTGCCCACAAGGCTGTGTACTTTTAAAAGAAGGTATTTGAAATATTTTGCCAGTCTGCTCTTTATTACCCAGGAGTGGGAGAGAAAGAAGGCTGTGCAAGGCCAGATGTGAGGGCACGCAGCCTTGCGTTCAAGCCCGAGGGGAGTGTCCTTGTAGCCAGGGTGCGGGGCATGGGAGGGAGGGTGCCTCTTCAGTGCAGAAGCTGCTTGTGGGCACCATCTGCCTCCTCTCCCCGGAAGGTGTTCTTGTTGGGATGAGTCCCCAGGTAGACATCTGCCACCCTGGCTTCAGATTTAGACAAGAATGTGTAGCACTTGATAGAGAGCTGGGGTGGGCCTCTTGGCCTCCAGCTCCATGTTGTACCCCAGACAGGGGACCAGCCTCACCAGCTTCTAGGGTACTCGATGAGTCTGATGGCCAAGGCAGGCCCTGTACCTGGTCTGCTCTTTGGTGGACAGGATTGTGGCTGCTCTCCTTTCTCATGTTCCTTTGGGGCGTGGTTGGTCCTGGACTGACCTGAAGCTCCTTAGCCTGCAGGCCATGAGTTCTGGCCTTCATGTCACCCAAGCCCCCTGAGACTGTCTTACCTCCAACCAAACCACCCCCACCTGCTGAAGCTCCACCTGCTGAAGCTCCACCTGCTGAAGCTCCACCTGTAGCAGCTTCCACCCAGGGTGCATTCCTGCCTGTTTCTCCGGATCCTGTGGTCTCCTGTAGACTGAGGCTCCTACATCTGTCCTTCTCCCCTTCCACCCTAGCCTCCCTCTTCTGCAGGGATTCTGGTCTTGTCTCCTCTGCCTTCTCGTGTCCCCTATACAAACTCCTCAGCATGCAGGAAAGGCTGTCTTTTGATGAGCAGGGCCTTACCTCCATGTGCAGCTCCTGCGTTGGCTCCACCTAGTGCCCCACCCCACCCCCACCCCACTGCTCCAGTGCCGCTAGACTCCCAGGGATGCTCCAGAGTCACCGTGAGCCCTGGCATCTGAGCCCACTCTGACTCTTGCCTGGACTCCCCTCCACACAGCTGGCTCATCGCTGTGTGCCCTCCTGGGTTTCCTGGTCTGAGGAGCCTCCCCAGCTCGGACCCTCCAAGCTCCCATGAACCCTCAAGTTTTAAACTTCCTGCTGGGTGTCCTCAGTGGCTCTGAGTGTCCTCTGGCCCTGCCAGGCTGCGGGCTCCTGAGAGCAGGGCTGAGCCTTACCCTTCCATGTCTCTATAACATCTCGCGTGGTTCCAGGCTCAGGTTGGCATTTAATAAAGATAATTTTAGTGGAAGAACACTGAACTGCTGAGCATTTCGGATTGCTGATGTCTTAAACATGTCCTGTGTGACTAGGTACGTGGCTGACGGGGGGCCACCCGGGAGGTGGGAATTCTGTTATTGCCCATTTATCCTCTTTCCAGTGTAGATAAAGGGGAAGAGTGGAGGGTGGTTGCTTATTAGGCTGTGGTTCAGCCAATTTGCGCTGGTATTTTCCTGGAAAATACATCTTGGCAGACGACAGAAAAGAAAATGTGAATCTGCGGAAACTGATGAAGTTTTCTATGTATCATAACGAGGGAAAAGTATATGCCCCTTTAGTTGGAGGGTTCTGTATGCATGTTTTTTTTTTCACTGCAGTATGCGTTTTTAGCTTCACGTGTTAATGATTAAGCGAGGAAGCAAGATTTGTGGAGATATTCTGCAAATATCTAGTTCTGCTCTACAGGGAAGAGGTTTAAATAACCCATGCCCACCGGCTGGCCCTGATTAAGTAATGATGGTGACCCTTGACAGTCGTCGAAAGTGGTGACCCTGATGTGATGCCGACTGTGCACCTGAGCGTGCAACACGTCACAGAAAAGCGTGGCAAGTGTGAGCTGATGCCAAGAGATAGGTGATAAATAGGCGCCTTTGTGAATGTGCAGAGGTATCTGTTAGCGTGTAAGCGTGTGTGGCGATGCAGGCAATTCCTCCTTGTGATGCAGTTGTCTGTCACAATATGTTCATGCATGGTCTGATTTCCCGCACAGGTGGGTGACACGCGTTTGCTTCCGTCCCTGTGTGTGCACTTGGTTCTTCACTGCATCCTGGGCTGCGTCTCAGGCCAGCGCTTATCTGGTTGTACACCTGGGAGTGGGACTTCTGGTCCCAGGGTGCTTGTACTTGACTGTCCTGGAGGCACCAGGTTAAGCCCTCCCTGTAGGGCCTGTGGGTCTCAGACCCTTGTGTCCTACCCACTGCTTGGTTCAAGCTGACTTTCTGATGCCTTCCCATTACAGGGCTGTGACTTGGTGCCACAGTGCTTTGCATTTCTTTACTTTATGCTGAGCTTGAGCTCCAGTCTCTTCCTGTCCTTCTTAATAGTCTGATTTCCCTGTGTACAGAATCATTTCCACCTCTTCCTGTATATTACCACGAAGAACAAGGTTAGACAAGAGACTGGAGGGAGGGCAGCAGTGTGGAGACAGTGTACCTTCCAGAGGGGCGAGTGTGCTCTGCCTGCTGGTGTCTGGGGCAGCTACGCCTGCTGCTGACTTGAGCCTTTGGGAGCGTGGCAAGGCAATCAGCGGAGAGGGTGGCTCTGGTGGAACTGGGATTTCTCTTGACTTTATCCTATATTTTTGGCACTGAGGGTTGAATCCAGGGCATTCACTGAGTCATATCCCCAGTCCTTTTACTTGCTGAGTCCTTAAACTGTCCAGGCTGTGGTGGAACTTTCCATTCTTCCACCATAGTCTCCTGAACTGCAGGGATCACAGATCACCGGGATGTGATTTTTTTTTTTTTTTCTATTGCAAAACATCTGGAGGGGTCACAAATTCAGGGGTGGGACAGGTAGGTGGTGACTGCTGGCATCAGGACATTCCCCACCCCCACCCCCCTTAGAGTACTTCACCCTGAAGTCTGGGGTGTGTGTGTGTGTGTGTGTGTGTGTGCTCTGACTTTAGCTTCTCCTGTGGGGTGGACAGGGGAAAAGTCAGGGAAGTTGTCACCCTGCAGTCATGACTTTCCTAGTCTCAGCAGAGACCCCCCAGCTCTCCAGTGCAGGCTGTTTTTTTCCCATCTCTGTGGGCTGCTTTCTTGGCTCCTTTTCATTTCAAAATCTCTGTAAAATCCTCTTATCTCAAAGGAAAGTTCAGTTTGATGTTTCTCCAGGGATTGGGAGGATGAATTCTAGGTGACCTCGCGGTGTCCTCTATTGGTGACAGAAGTGTACACCGATGGGCCTTGGGAACACTGGCGTCACAGAAGTGCAAGCTGCTAAGCCAGGTCTTTGCAAAGGAACCAAAGGTTTCCTGCTCATTTTGGCTTCTCTC